ACTCAGTTTGAGGTGTTTTTGCCTGGGGGGGGCAAAGCAGCTTTAAACCCAGTTATGTTACAATTTGATTATTAAAATAAGATTATTAAACACATTTCAATTCCATTTCAGTTTCATTTGTCAATTTAATTTTAGTGAGCTATCTTTACTAAATCGTTACATAACTAAATACATAGTTTCATAACCTTTAAATCAAGAGTGCCTTAAGTCAGAGCAGAATGAAGATGAGAATAAGGATTGGATGTACAGGAACATACTGTGCAGTACAACGGGAAGACACCTGTTAGCCCAGGTGCTAAATTAAAGATTTCAGGTCTTATCAGCTCTAGCACTTGATGATTGGTCCACCAAGCCTCTAATAAGATTTACCTACACTGGTCTGCCTGAGCTGAGCACTCAGGACCTGCTGCCTGCTGTGGGCCAGCTCAGAATCCAAGGCTCTGTGGTCCGCCCCTCTCTCTTAGCGCCACCCTGTGGGCAGTTGCAGCAGTGAGTGTGATCGCCACTCTAGCTTGCTGGACGCTGCCTATTTGTAGTACAGGTTGGCAGCTAAGGCCTTCTTCTTCTTCTTCGGACCTTCACTGGAAACATCCTGGATCCCTCTCATAGGCTGGATGGATCTGAGACAGAGCAATATCACCAGCTGTGCATTAACTCTGTTAATAGGGACATTGTATCCAAGTGTAACACACGTGACTTGCCCTCACTGATCCCTGCCTCAACAGCGAGGTGTCTCTCACAGGTTCTCCTCCTCTGGTGACACGGCTGGCCTTTACTATACAGTAAGTACTGACCATTAGGCACACATAGCTGTTGTGCCTCCCTAACACCCTGACCCGTGCTGCCTCTACAGGGTGGACGAAGTGGACAGGATGTGAATGACTGGCCTGCTGTCTTACATCATGAATGTCTCAGAGATACACACTGGCCACCTTATTGTCAACAATCATACACCTGAAAGAAAATTCCAACTCACTGGATGCCTCTCAATTTGCACGGAGGAATTACAATAATAATAAAGTTTACTGGTCATTGCACAACTACACAGGAATTTGTCTCTTCAACTACCCTATCCTGCTCTTCATAATTTGGGGGTCACAGTGCAAGGTCAACCATTGTACGGCACCCCTGGAGCTGGGGACTAAGGGCCTTGCTCCAGGACCCACGGACATGTGACTATTCTGCCCTCTCCCCACCGGGGCTCGAACCAGCAACCTTCTGATCACAGGCACAGAGACAGAGCCTGCTAAGCCACTCACCGCCCCAAAAATGCCTTTTCCACTAATAACACACCATTCCCAGACTCTCTTTCCTTTCGGTTCCCATTTGCTCCCATTCTGGAGCTTTATATACACGCCGACATTCAGCTGAATCTTGAATGGCTCCCCCCCCCCCTTTTCCACTGGGATAAACATCTCCACAAAATGTAAAATTATTCCACCGCAAATAATTAACAGTTTAAAGCGTGAATAATAATCAGCCAAGGCAGCATTAGGGCCGGCCGTGGGGACTGGGCCGATCAGGGATCACAGAGAGCCGAGCTTATCGAGTGCATCTCCCCAAGCATGTGCCGGGGGAGATAATTCAGTGAGCTTGTCTCTGCAGTCAGTAAGGGTTCAATCAGGACGCTGGTGGAGAGGGTGGGGGGGGGGATGTCTCGTACCCAGCCATCCAATCTGGACCGCACCCCACCCCCCCCATTAATAACCATCTGCTGTGACAGTCTGTCTCAAGTACCATTCATGCCCCATCTCGATAACTTCTGCTGGGAAAAATATATAATATGAATATTTCATTCCTCAGTATGTGAACAAATGTGTCGGCTTTCAGTCTGTCAGAAGCTTTGTAAATGGCAGGGAACTGTAAACAATCTGGCAGATTTATTGTTATTATTTTAAATTTGAGATACATGTGAAAAGACCAAGCACAGTAAATGGCCCATCAAAAATTTTTCCTGAAAAATAGGGAGCGTCCACACACTCTCCCAGCCTTCATGGCGAGATGGTCCATCACAAAGATGCGCTCGCTTTTATCATACGTTTATAGCTGCAAATCTGGCATCTGATAACCAGCTTTGGGGCAGCTAGAGTCACCGAGAGGGAGGAGCTGAAGAGAAACTCACCAGTCTTCCTACACACATATGGAGTGTATGGAGTCTGCCATGAGGAAGTGTGCAGAAGGACCCTGAGCAGACAGCACCCCCCAGGGGCCGAGCAGTAAACAAGAGCCACGCAGGGGGCTGGATGTGACTCCTCCCCACGCAATTTAGTTGCCTGCTTTGTGCTGCCTCTGTGGCTTCCTGCACGCTTTTAGGATGTCCTAGAGCATTAACCCAGCTTGGTTTCGTTAGCCGGACCTGCATCCTGAACACGGGCCGCTTGCTCGCTCGTTCTCTCTCTCGCCCGCCTGTGTGCGGCATTCCCGCTAGGCGATCAGCCCGAGAGCCTCCCCACACTTCACATGCTCGTTTAGAAAACAGAATGACTTTCACATTGTAGATTGGATTTTGCAAAGCGTTTGCAAGACCATCAGGACGCAGCATCCGACTGAAATCTCACTCTGGTGACAGAATCTAATCCCACGATTCGAAAGCTTTCCTCAGTACAATAAAACTGCAACCCAAGGCAGAATCTGGCTCAAGTGTGAACAAAAGGTGACAAGGACAGTCCCCTAGGTTACCAGACAGCATTTACAGTCCTCTGCTGGCTTTTAAGTGCTTTTATTAACGACATGGGCACGTCATATACAGAATGTTAACAAAAAGAGCCAAGACTGGACTTTGAGCTGAGAATGGGCTTCCATTCACAAACAACCACCAGGGGCGGGGGGACTTAAACACCCCCCACACGGTGCCACCAGACAGCATTCTAAGAGATGCTGCGTCTGCGTCCGCGTGAAGCTGCAGGCTGGAAGTGTGCTCATCCCAACACGGGAGAAAATGCAAACAGCTCATTTGCATTGCAGGCTGGGATCTGCCACATCAAACTGCAGCCTGCCCTGTGCTCCAAGCCCCTGGTGTTGCAGCCAGACAACATGGACCATTATCCAGAGAAGCTCATGAAGGATCAGACAAATCCCACTACTGCAGATAAGACTGAGGCCCGAAGAGCTGTAAAAACCCATAAAGCCACACCAGTAGCTGATGAACCTGACTGCAAGAAAAACAAGCACAGGATGAGCTTTATGGGCAGCAGAGAAACAGGGAAGCACAGAGCCACGTGAATCCCGAAAGGATGTTGGGAGTGAAGGCTGGTCATGTGACTGACCTCCTCCATTGACACGCTGCGGACCGACCGTGATGAGGACCCCACCGCCAGGCACATTCTGCTTCCTAATCACTTTAATTCCTCTCCCGGGGGCAGGTTTCCTGACATTGAAACACATCCCCACCCCCGTTGTCTTAAAGCCTTAGATCTGAAAAATGTGGTATTAAAGAGGAGCTTTGTGTCGATGTATAAAAAGCCTAGAGAAAATGTCAGGATCTAATTGCGTCTGGTCCCTTACTGGTGCTGTACGGATGGGCTGTGACCTGCAGCAGAGAATACGCCGCAAACTGCTGGGTAGCCTCTTGATGTAACAATGGAGCCTCCTTAAACAGTCAATCTAGGCGCAAAATTTACTGAATATTACCAGAATATTGTAATAAACCTTGAGTAAATTCACAGGTTCCGTCAGAACCCCTTGTGTTAGTAACTAATTGCATTAAAATCAAGCCTGATAGCTGGTGAAGCTATCAGAGATTGGCCCGCTGTGAAATGTCCGTCCCTCTGGGAACCGAGCCGGCGGCTCTGCCTGGTGCCGAAAGCCAGCTCTGGCACCGCATCTCGTTAAAGCCCCGGATAATGGTTTTACACTTTACGTTTTTACAGAAACCCGCAGCTCAGGCTGTGTGGGGGGGCCCCTAACAGGCATCTCTAATGAAAGCTTACAGACAAGTCCAAGACCAGAAATGAATGTCTCCTCTGAGCACACAAAGATCCAATCAGCCGTACGCCGTCATGACTCAACTTCTAATGACTCTGACTCGCTCATTGCTGACTTGTGTAAGGTCAGCATGCCTGGGGGGGTCAGCCAGCCAGCTGGCCTTCTGCTCCCATAATTTCCACAAGAATTTCAGCTGGTTACGATCTCATTTGGGCTATTAGTACTGTATAACATTAGTAGCTGGTCTGTCCGGTTGGTGAATCTTGATTTGGTACTTTGAGGCAACCAATTTAGCAGAGGCACTATGCAAAAATAAACAGTCTGGATGAAGGGCGATACTCACTTCTGGGCCAAGGGCTGCCGGGGATGCTGGGATAGTGAGGCCAGTCGCTTCCAGTTACTCTCACGCAAAGCCTGGGAAGATGAGTGACACCAATTTACACTTTCAGCTTCTCCTTGGAAGGCTGGCTTGTCTTTGGGCTATGAAGAAGTACAGCCTGGCTAATTTGAACTGTCCCTGGGTAATGTGCACCTGCTTATGGCTACCCCCCCTGCGGGCACCGGGCTGGTGATGGGCCACCAACCCCTCCACATCCATCCTCTGCCCATCCAGCTGGGCCTTCAGCATCCTCATCTCCTGTAGCAGTTGCTCCCGGTGCTCCTGCAGGAGGCTGTAGAAGGGGATTGGCGGGGTACACTGATAAGACGCACGTTTCACACACACTCACTCACTCACACACACACAAAAACACACACGCATGTAGGGTATACAGTACATATCCTTATGGGGACCGCTCATTCATTTCAATGAGAAAAATGCTAACGCTAACTATGACAACCTTAACCCCTACCCTGCCCTAACCATAGCCATAAGTAACCAAACAAAATACAAGAGTTTTTGGATTTTTAGTTTTTTCATAGCCGTCACCTATGAAAAAACAGAGTTTAATATACAGAACAGAGTTTAACCAACATAAAACAGAGTTTTCCCTTATGGGGACCAGGAAACCTATCCTTATGTGTCCCCATAAGGATAGGTAAACCCGCTCTCACACACACACACACACAAAGTTGGTCTATGCAAACCTCAGATGCATGATCTTCCTGCTCTGCTCTTTAATTTTGGTACTCAGCTTCTCGTTGGCTTGTCTGGTTCAGGGTAAAAATAAACTGGTATTGTTATGGGAAAGCTATACAACAGCTTATTACCCAGTGTTAGAATGTTCTAGAAGTAATCATGCTGTTAGGTTGGCCACGGTGACACCTACTTCTGCTCCTTCACCCACTGATGGACGCTGGACACAACCAGCTCGCTCTCCTGCTGCAGGCGGATGCTGTTGGTCCGAGCGTTCCCCAGGAATCGCCTCAGGACATCCACCTGGGCGGGAAGATGGCGGGTCCATGAGCACTGCCCGTCTGACCTCCGTCAGAGACCAGGTGCAGAGACAGCTTTGGTACCTCGTTCACGGCTGCCTGGTGTTTCTGCCTCATTAAGTCCAGCTGCGAGTGTAATGCGTCCACCTGTCACACAAGCGTCAGACTCGTCACCCCTGGCACACGGATACGGGCCCGGCCAAGCAGCATGGGAGGGGGCCGCATCTCACCTCCGTGACCTTGGCGCGGTAGTTCTCCCTGAGCGAGGTCAGCTCCACCTTCAGTGCCACCGCCTCCGCCTCCTTGGCTTCCAGCGCTGCCAGCTGCTCCTGCCCCCAGCACCAGCAAACCTCGGCCAGCCTGCCCTCATATGTCCGAGCCTGGGGTTTGATGAGAGTTTGCTATTCGGGGGGACACTAATTGATCATTTCATTTTTCCTATGCCCTTGATACCATGGTATGTCATGTGGACACACTCCGCTCCTGTTTAGACTTCAGACTTCAGGAGGTACAGTAACAGAGATGACATCAACATGACATTGCACACACGCTGCAAATTCAGCCACGGTAACCACCAGACATTGCGAGGTGTACCTCCCGATCCATCAAGGCCGGCGGCACTCTAGGCGCTGGAGCTGCGCCGCGTTAGAGCTCCATGTTGGCATGCTGACCTTTACACGCATGTGAGGAGCAAATGGGATGCAGGGCAGAGGCAGTAGATGTAATGAAAGGACCAAAGGCAATTAAAGCACAGATGGGATCCGACGCAGGCAGACTAACACTGCATTAGTGCCTCTAATCCCTCTGTGATTGCTGCCAAATCACACTGTGTGCAAATTCAACACTATTCTCCGCACTCTCTGCCCTAATCCGCACACACACAACCACACATACACACACCAGGGTTATGGAGACACCCAAGCCCCCGCCCCCACCACGGTCGACACAAACACTGGGAATTATTCCTGCTGTCCCTGTGACATGTGAAATTAGGCGACCAAATGCAGACCGTCCTACCAGCACCTGGGGCGTCTGTGAGAGACTGTTCTCAGATTTCTGTAGGACTGACTGACCAAATAAATGAGAGGATACCCCCCCCCCATCCCCCAAAACCCTGCAGGGCTACTTAAAAATGGTCACAGACACATCCTGTCCTGCATGGTGAGCCGAGTACCTTTGCCTGTATTCATATTTTTAAATGATTTTTCTTTAAATAATATCCACACCCCGAAGCAGCGTAGAGGACTACGGTGATCTTCCAGAAGAATCTGAAGAAAATCATCTGCATGAGAACCAGAGCCGTGACCAGTAGTCTGCTAAATGTGGTCTGTGAAATAACACACACTTGTCCCCCTATATAGTTCCCAATACAGTTCAGGTCTGATAAATGAAGTTACTCTTCCATGAAAACATGGTATTCATGGAGCATGTAAACCTGGACTACTTGCTGCTCCGGATGACCCCCAGATGACCTCTGACCTCTTGGCTGAGTTGACAGTTCTCAGTCCGTTTGGCCTCCAGCTCAGCCGTGCACTGCAGCAGCTGGGCTTGCCCGGAGTCGATTTCCTCCTGCAGCCTGAGGGTGGCGCTGTCAAGCTCTGACATGCTGATGATGTGCTCCTCTTGCTCTTTCAGCTGCAGAGACTAAAACATTTGTTCTGACCTCAAATAAAAATATTTATGTGAAATATTTCTTTTGGGACTGAAACTATTAACTGCTTTGGATCATGAAGAAGAAATTTCAAATACATTTCTGAACAAGCTATAAGCTGTCAGTGTTTCTCGTACTCCTGACTATAATCTCTGTCCTATGTCCACAGTCTGCCTTTTGTTTCTTGTACCCCTGACTGCAATGTCTGACCTACATCCACACAGTCTGCCTGTTTCATGTATTCCTGATTGTAATGTCTTATTTTGTTGATCTTGCCCGTTAGCGTCTCTCCCATGATGCCAACCTGTTGCTGCTGGGTCCAAATGCCCCCCATTTTGCTGGTCAGCTCCTTTTCTGGATGCTCTGCTCCTGATGTGTCAAGCTGGGCCATTCTGCCCTTGCTCACCTGCACTGTCAGTGGTCCCACTTGGCTTCTGAAGATCAAACATATATAAACAACAAACTATAAACCAAAATGTCCCCTCTTACATACAGGACAGTTGGCATCCTTGCCATAGAGATTCGTTGGGGACACCGATAGAGGTCCTGTCACCTGGAAGCCTACTGGGCCACTACAAGACAAATGGGAAGGGAGGGAAGCGCGCTGTAGGTGCTTCGGTGTAATGCTCAGCGTGGGGGGACCCGGAAAGCCCCCGGGCTTACAGACTGCCCTGGGGGGGCGGCGTCTCTCCAGCACCTCCCATTCTTTTTACTGGGAAGCCACAGTAACAGGTAATCAATATCTCGCAAACCCAACCCCCCCACACCCCCTTGCCAGGCTGATCAATATCCCTGGCAATTAGAGTCCCTGACTGCTGGGACCTGAAGCTGCTTCCAAGCCCAAAGACACTCAGTGCAGTCCTCAGACTTCCACTTCATTACACCCCCCCCCGCCTCCGTAATTTGTATTGGCAGCCTGCTGTGTACTCAGTGTTCAGGGCCGGCTGGACGACAGACCTCTGACAGGCCACCGGGTGGCGCTTTTGGTTCCCACGTCCCGCACCGCGTTTCATTCCAGTCGACGGGGGGCCTCAACCGCAGAGTGTGTCTGGCTGGGCCTGCATGCCAGTGCAATGCCTGGGTAGCACCGCCCCCAGGTGGCGAGATAAAACACCTCCAGGGTAACAGATCAGCCTCACGGGGCATGGGGCTCCAGGGGACCCCAAACAGAGGAAGCAGCTCCCAAGCATCTGCTCAGGGGCACCCCAGCCGTTCAGTGTGTTTGTTACATTTCACCACCAGCTCAATTAATCTGATTTATTAAATAATAATAATTTTGAAAAAAGTCAACAAAGTATTGATTAGGCAAACATGGTGCGCTAGTGGTCGTGGGAGACGACACACAGTGTGTTGGATGAACTCAAGGGGTGAAACTTGAGGGGACCTTGGAGGGTTGCTGAGATCTGAGAGCTGTACCTGCCGCCCTGACCGTGGGGCTCCATCTTACGCAGCTCGTCCTGTAACACGTGCAGCTCCGCCTGATGCCACATCTCTTCTTGCTGTGGCCACGCCACCGTGTCCCCCAGCGCCCCCTGCTGCCCTCTCTCTGCCAGCAGCGCCTCCTTCTTCTGCCTGGCCAGGGCCTCAGCTGAAGGGACACAAGCACGAGATCCTTTCTATACCCAGCGAAACTCAGCTTCCTTAGTTTAAGCTCCAGAACACAGTAGAGGGTGATCACACTCTAATACTGAAACAACCTCTACAGCGCCCCCTACAATGTTAGCCGTTACACTGATGTCCATTAAAATTACAACTACGTTAACACTACACAGTGTTAATCAATAATGCACATGACTGGAAACAGACCTAAAAAATACATTACACAAATCATTCTTATCCATCCGTGAATCTTCCTTCCTGCTTATCCAGTACAGCGTCACGGTGAGCCTACCCCAGGAAGGATGAGGCAGAACACCCGGCACGGGACGCCTGTCCAGCCCAAACCGGTGCCCTGCGTACCTGGCTCATTAAAGAGGAGCCAGAGGTGTCCTCACCTCCTGCCTCTGCTGACCCTCCATAGCTATCTCCACTCCTCCTTCCTTGCTATAACACCTTATATTATCAGCTCCAGAGTTTGAGAATTGAGATGAACCACAGCTGATGAAGACTCTGTAGGTGCCCACTGACTCCGCTGTCCCGCGACCCAGAAGTCTTACCCATGATCTTGCAGCGGCTGCGTTCCACCTTCAGCTCCTCTTGGAGGTGCAGCAGCTCTGCTCTCAGGGTGGCACTCTCTGTCTCCCCCTGCTGGTTGTCCTTCATAGCTCTCTGGAGATCAGCCTCTAGGCCCTGCCTCTCTGCCTCCAGGGAGTGCTCACTTATCACCTCATTGCTCTCCACCAGGGGGGCCTCCACCTCCTTCAGCAGGCCTTCCATCTTCTGCATGGTGTGGGATATTAGTGTGGGGGGGGGGCATTACCGCACACTGATGACGGCAGGGGGTGGAGCCTAATGGTGACACTGACGCTGGTTCAGTGCACTCCCAAGTCATCCACCATAAGTATGAGGATACAGGGGTGACCCTCTGGCCAATCAACATGCAGTATTAGGTAGCTGTACAAGATCACCCAATATGAGTAAAAGAAGTTGAATGTATGAAAGCCAAATAGCACAAGACTAAAAAAAAAGGCAACACTGAGGCAACACTATTTAGCTCTTTAAAAGGCAAGAATGTTTTAGCCAGAATCTGGATGTCGCGGACAAAGCTAAACCTTGAAGTCTGCCAGCCAATTATTTCTTAACTTGACTGTAAGGATACATGGCAAAAAAATAAGCATCAAATATCAAAACTTGGTGATTATGAGTAATGAACTTTACAGCAAAATTCAGGAGCAGGTTGGTGTCCCCTTCCTTTTGGGATAAAACAGCTAACAGTCTGCCAGAAATAACAGGTACTTTAGCTTGGAGTCCAGCCGCATGAATCACTAGCTAAACACATTCACTGGTACTGTGGTTCTCCTGTTTAACTGGTTTTCTGGTTTTTTCGTTTGGTCGTCTCTCAAATATGAGGACTTGCGAGCTGTAATATGACCTTCTGTTGCTGGGCAGCCCGCAGCTCCCCCTGCAGGCGAAACGTCTGTTTCTTCCCCCGCCGACGCCGTGGCTCGGCTGCCATCTTCCCCTGTAACTGCCCCACCGCTTCCTGAAGACGCACTGCCTCTGGAACAATGGGAGGCCGCCATTACTCAAACCCATACAGACTCCACTGCAGGCCTGAGCCCTAATGCTCTTATGAAGACGTGGCCCACTCACCTGTAATGTCAGGGTTCCTGTGCTTGGTCAAGTGGCTAACTTCCTCCTTCAGCTGGCACACGTCAGCCTGGTACTGGCCGAGCTCCTGCGCGTCCTGAGCAAGCCGCTCCACAGCACAGGACAGCTCCTGTGGAGAAACTTTACCCTTATAGGTGGCGCCCCCACCTGGCCAGAAGTGGCAGCACACGAATCACTAAATCCTTAGTGGCTCCTGCAGCCCCCGCACAGTCATTAATGCACGCAGGCCGGCTGCTTATCTGCTGCTTCTACACGGGAAGCGAAAGTAAAGGAAAACGGCCGGAAGTCACAGCCCAGATGGACACACAGAAGCCTCTTTGCTGTTAGCCTCTCAATTAATCGTGTGCAGAGTGCTGTAAGCATGGTGGGTTTATGAGCTGCTTAACGAGCTTCCGGACTGGACTGCGCTGTGCAGGGGGGGAGGGACAGAGTGTGAGCCTGTTGCCCTGGATCGACGCCCCAATGGGCCACTTGCGTAAAACCGCGCGCTCGGTAATGAAGGGGCAGCGTTATCTGGAACACACTGACACGCATTTCAGGAAAGGTGCAATAAAATAAATTTACGCCAGCAACAGGGGACCAGGCCTTCGCTCAGACCATTAAAATGAGGACGTGTGACGAGGCAGGCAGGCAGCCTGAACACCCGCGCTGACAGTCATCGAGACAAATCTGAATTTCATGGCCGTCCGCGTTTGTATAAATAGCCAAACTAAATGCTCTAACCATCTATAAAATTATATTAAAGGTTGCAGGGAAAAGGAAGGCGTTAGGTGGCCATTTATTCGGGGCAGTAAATCAGGCAGGGGTAGGCCGGCGGGGTTTAGCAGGCTGGTCGGATTAAGCAGGCTGCGCCTGCCCCAGGTCAGACATGCTGCGGCACTCCATTAAAGGACACACCCGGCACAGCCGCAGCCATCACAGGCTGGCCCTGGGGCGGCTCAGGATGCTGCCAGCGCTGGAGGTCTGCCTTTGGGCCTTTGATCGTCAGTCAGTGTGAGTGTCGCTCCCACGTGGACAATCCGGGTAGAGGGATGAGAGCAGCTGTCATCTGGAGGCCCAGGGGGGAAGGTCAGGCCTGGCCTGCAGGCTCTGCACCTGAACGATGCAGGGGCTTTACCTGTTGCAGCTCCTGGATGCGGCAGAGGTGAGGCTCACAGTCTGGATCTGTGAGGAGGTGTGTGGCTTTGTACAGAGAGAAATCCGCCCGGATCTTCACCACAGCCTCCTCCTGCTCCTCCACCTGCGTCAGTGTGCACATGTCTGAGACAGGTCACTGTCCATGCAGGGGTGATTCTTTAAGGTGAGCAGCATAACACTACTACACTACATTTCTGTTAATTTAATTACTATGCATGTGTTTTTAGGTGCTCAGACTTTACAGAGAGGTCACATAAAACACGGCAAAAACAGCAGTTACTGCATTTTAGTGTTTATTTTTTTTAAATATGGCCTTGTCATCTGGATGGGGGCCATGGACATTGTAGATGGGGGTGGGGGGCTCATACACAGAGTGCGAGTTTGGACAAAGTCCTGTGCCTCCCCTCTGAGTGCCTGAAGACTGAAAGCTTGATTCAAGTGATTTTGGGAAGTTCAGCTGGTTACACTCAGGGGGGTGTATGGCTGGCAGCCTCATTCTGGCCCAGCCCAGCAGGGGGCGCTGACCTGCCTGCGCAGGGTCCCGATGACCAGCTCACACTTCAGGCCGTGCTGGCGGCTCTCTTCCAGCTGCCGCCTCAGGGCACCCAGGGACTCGTCCTGGGCCTGCAGCTGTGTGTAGCGCCCCTCCAGGTCACTGCGCAGGAGTGCAGCCTCCCAGTGCAGGTGCTGTACCTGCACGTTATGCTGCAAAGCCTGGGGGGAGGAGGGTTGCATACCAAACTCCTTGGGAGGTACTTGGTACCAGACTGATTTCTATTAAAATATCTGTATAACTGAACACAAGTGAGCTGCGTGAAGGGGCTGACCTGCATCCCGGCCTCCTGCAGCTCCCTGTCCCGGGCCTGCACCCTCTCCTCCAGCCGGGAGACCGTGCCCAGGCAGGCCTGGTACTTCTGCTGGTAGGAGTCCAGGGCCTGGGTGAGCAGTGGTGGGGGGGGCTGGGCCTCCTGTGGGGCTCCCCGCAGCTGACTGAGCTCCATCTCCACACTGCACAGCTGGGGGGGCTTCTGTAAAGCCTGCTGACGCGGCAAAAACACACCGAGGGAGGGCTGTGTGTATACCACACACACACACACACACACACACACAAACACAGGGCTGTCTTTGTATATACCCACACACATGCACACACATACACACACTGGGGGTTGTAGATATACACACATTCCACTCCCCCCCCCACCTCCCTGAAGTCCAAAATGCTAAATTAAACTCTCACAGACACACAGAAACTGGTGAAAGACAGTAGGCAGACACTTGTTTCAAACACGTGAACACACTAACCTGCACCGAGTCGTTACTGAGCCGGAATCCATTTTCTTGTGCACCCAGCTGGATTAATCATAAAGAATGCCGTTAAGCTCCTCACAACTTCACAACGTATTATTTAAGCTCATGCTGAACAGCGTGCCAGCAAAGAATACAGAAATCTCGGGAGAAGAGGAGGCGCAGATTCACCATCCTCCTCCTAGACACCCACCTCCTCAGCCTGCCTCTGCTGCCTCTGGGCCTGGTCCCTGTGGGCGCCGAGCGTTTCTGTGCTGCTGAGGTACTGCTGCAGCCTGCTCTGTGCCTTGTCCACTTGGGCTTGCGCCTCTGCCTGCCAGCGCTGCAACTCTTCATTGGCCGTACACAGCGCCCCCTGCTGGACCTCATACTGAGACATCGGGGGGTAGGGAGGTCAGTATCTAGGGCCGGTGTTTATGGCGTTTACATTCTCACAGTGCTTCTCTGCTGTCATCAGAGCACATTAATTAACGAAGATATCTTTATCCTGCTAAGAGACTAATTTCTGGAAACCCGATGACTTCATTAAACAGTGCTCTGACGTCTCACGGAGTTCTGGGGGGACCCTAATTTTACAGGGCATGTCGACATGGACAGACAAGAAAGAACCAAAAAGAGAAAAGAAAACACAGGAAGAGCTAGAGATGGAGAGAGGCGGAGAGGGCTGGAGCGGCCCGTAGCGGGGAGAACAGCAACGGCAAGGCCGCATGCATCACCGCATTATCTGCACTAAGCTGCAGCGTGGTCCTCAAAGCCACAGTTTCTCTCACACGCTCATCACACAGACAACACCCCATGGCTATTTCTGATGAGATCCAGAGTGGAAGAGTGAAATGTTTAGACAGGGCTTCTACCCACCCCCGTCTGATTAATCTCCAGCTAGATTGCCTGGCCAGCAGTGATATTAGCATAAAATCTCCATGAATCAGGCCTGGAAACGAAGACCTTTCATCAAGGCACTTGTCTGACACGAAACAGCGAATCTCATTTTGTTTCTAATATCATTTTCATGGGTGGGGAGCGGGAGTGGGGGGGTGGGAGAGGATGAGAAGCTAAACGGAAATAGGATGGGGGTGGTTAAAGTTTGTGCATAAAATAAACAGTGTCATCAATCAATATTAAGAAGCCCTATCCAGAATATGACGAGCTTTTAGACGCCTGGCAGTGAGGCTCTTAAATCGAGGAACAGAAGGTTAGTTACCTGTCACACAAAGAAGAAAAAAATAGATTTTCTTTTAGTTACACTACTGGAAAGTGTCCATGATCAACTGCAACACCTCATAAAATCCATGTAAAAAAACAAGCTGTCAAGTCGTGTAACAGTGAAAACTAACAGATGCACAGACATGCTGAAATTAATGAAGACACCACTGAATGTCATGGATACCCTACCAGCTACACGGGAGAGTGACTGTCAGTGAACAGCAGAGTCAGTATGATCATGGATGAGACTGTTCCGGTGACTATGCAACAGAGTCAGTGCAGTCATGAGGGAGAGGGTCACAGAGACTACGCACAGAGAGTAGGTATGATCTTGGAAAACTGAGTCACAGTGACAAGGCAGCAGAGAGTCAGTACAATGACGGAGGGGAATGTCACGGTTATTATGTGGCAGTCAGTACTATCATAGTGGAGAATGTCATGGTCATTATGTGGCAGAGAGTCAGAACAATGACGGAGGGGAATGTCACGGGGATTATGTGGCAGAGAGTCAGTATCATCATAGTGGAGAATATTATGGTCATTATGTAGCAGACAGTCAGAACAATGACGGAGGAACGAGTCACTGTGGCTGTGTCCAAATTCAGGGGCTGCATCCTTCTAAGGCTGCATTTGAAGACTGAAGGTGTCACACAGGCGTGACAAGGCCGTCCCATTTGGAAGGCTCCTTCAAATGCAGCCCAGAAATGCGTTATTCTTTTGCTGATATCCCAAATTTAATTGAGTGAACCTTTGAAGGATACAAAGGTATAAAGGCTACAAAGACCGCATACTTCGAAGGATGCAACCTATAAAGGCTACAAAGACCACATACTTCGAAGGACAAAGTCTATAAAGGTTACAAAGACCGCGTACTTCGAAGGACGCAGTCTATAAAGGCTACAAAGACCACATACTTTGAAGGACGCAGTCTATAAAGGCTACAAAGACCACATACTTTGAAGGACGCAACCTATAAAGGCTACAAAGACCGCGTACTTTGAAGGATGCAGTCTATAAAGGCTACAAAGACCGCGTACTTCGAAGGACACAGTCTATAAAGGCTACAAAGACCGCATACTTCGAAGGACGCAGCCTATAAAGGTTACAAAGACCGCGTACTTTCGAAGGATGAAGTCTATAAAGGCTACAAAGACCGCGTACTTCAAAGGATGAAGTCTATAAAGGCTACAAAGACCGCGTACTTCGAAGGACGCAGTCTATAAAGGCTACAAAGACCGCATACTTCGAAGGACGCAGCCTATAAAGGTTACAAAGACCGCGTACTTCGAAGGATGCAGTCTATAAAGGCTACAAAAACCAAGTACTTCGAAGGATGCAGCCTATAAAGGCTACAAAGACCACGTACTTCGAAGGGTGCAGTCTATAAAGGCTACAAAGGCTGTGTACTTCAAAGGATGCAGTCTATAAAGGCTACAAAAACCAAGTACTTCGAAGGATGTAGCCTATAAAGGCTATAAAGACCGCATACTTCAAAGGATGCAGTCTATAAAGGCTACAAAGACCGCGTACTTCGAAGGATGCAGTCTATAAAGGCTACAAAGACCGCATACTTCGAAGGACGCAGCCTATAAAGGTTACAAAGACCGCGTACTTCGAAGGATGCAGCCCCTGAATTTGGACACAGCCCCTGAATTTGGACACAGCCCAGGGCTGTGCAGGAGACAATCAGTACAATCATGGAGGAAAGTGTCAGGGTGACTATGTGCTAGAGAGTTAGAGTGATGATGGATGAGAGAGTCATGGAGACTATATAGAAGAGAGTCAGCAGGATAATGGAAGAGCTGCGGTGGCTACGTGAGGAAGAGTCAATAATATTGTAGCGGAGAGTCATGGTTACAATATGTCAATATAATCACAGAGCGGAGTATCATGGTCAGGGGGACAGTCAGTAAGATCATGGAGAAGAGACATGGTTACTACTTAGGGAAGAGTCAATATGATCATGGATAGAGCTAGGCGATATGGCAAAAAAAAAATATCACAATATTTTTTCCTGTATTGACCGATATCGATAATTATCAATATTGTAGTTTCACAATGCTGTTCCATGTAATAATCAAAATAATAATAAAAATAACCCTATTCTGACAAATAGAATGAAGACATTGAAATAAACAATATTAATAAACAAATACTTATTTTCCAACAAATTTTACTGTTTACATACAAAATTCCCTTAAATTATAGAAGGTTATTGATTTTCAAGTATTCAAAGAAATATAGCTCAAATGAGAACCATATAATTATGTAACAATGTGCAAAACTGTATAATATTGCAAATATGCTAAAGGGCAAACATAAATTAAAGCAGGACAGAACTGACTGCAACAAGTATCTTCCTCTATTCTTGGTCTCTTAAAAACTTTTTTAAATTCTGAGGTAGAAAACCAAACAAAAAACACTTCATGTGTTAGATTTTTTTGTCTGGCGCTGCAAAACGTCACCATGCGTCACCATGTCACATGGTACAAAATCCTCGCGAGAGCAAGACGACTTGAGACAGACCGTGCAGCACAAACTGGAACCGCCTCCGTGACGACACAACTTTGCCCTTATTGGCTGAAGATTTTAGGCATGCGCATGACGTTTGTATCCAAGGAGGTTCCAATGCGTTATCTGCTACTTCTCCCGAAAAGTACGTAAAGCAGTGAGTACTGGTTTTAAGTTCATTTACCTGGTAAAACAAAGTTTAAATAAATTACATAAATGCTCTAACAGTACATGTAAGTTAGTGGTTTATTTATTGTTAGTTACTATAATGTTGCGCTGCTTTATTTGTTTAATCGTCCAGTCTGTGAAGAAGGCATTCAAGTAAGAATTGCATTGTACTCTGTACATGACAATAAAACTTTGAATCCTTGAAATACATGTATTTGATCTTTTTCCTGGCAGCTATCTTTTTACACAGAGTCACTATACACAATAGTTTTATTCACTGCTAACAGTTTGCATCAGGAGTTGGTTATTGTAAAAGTAATGTGCATGCAGGTGATATTTGTATAGATTTATCTACACCCTTCTGGCAGTGTTGCCATTGCAGTCAGGTCTCACAGACTACGAGGAGTAGAAGTTGTCCGACTTGGCTGCAGTCAGTTTATACTCCACCCCTGCAGCCGCCGGCACATCGCACTCCACGTCGCGTCAGCTGCAGACAGACCAAAGCCCAAGTTGAATGCAGCCATTGCTTCCTTAAGGGAGGATGGGTAAAATTACAACATCGTCGGTGATTGGCTGTTGTGCTGGCGTTCAGTAAACCTCTGCTCGATAGGCCATCGAGTTGTCTGTCTCAGTGCTTTCTCTAAAACGGAGCAAACTTGATTGATCGAGTTTTATAGTCTGTGTGTATCATCGTGATCGTCCTCATTTTTTATCGATAAAAAATCAAGATTGTTTTGTCGCCCAGCACTAATCATGGAGAAGAGGCATGGTTACTACATAGGGAAGAGTCAGTATGATCATGGAGAAGAAGCATGGTTACTACACAGGGAAGAGTCAGTATGATCATGGAGAAGAGGCATGGTTACTACATAGGGAAGAGTCAGTATGATCATGGAGAAGAGGCATGGTTACTACACAGGGAAGAGTCAGTATGATCATGGAGAAGAGGCATGGTTACTACATAGGGAAGAGTCAGTATGATCATG